CTGGCAAATACGTGGGGATTCCCCTGGGCTAGAATTTTCCTCCCAAGCTGCCCTGGTGACCCTGCCAGGAAGGAGTGAGGGGGGTGGAGGCACCGCCAAATAAATCCATCAGAAAAAATAAAGTTGAGTGGGTGGCGGGATCCAGAAGAACCCAGACCTATCCATCAAAACCTGTAAAGAGATTGGCTTTAAAGAAGGTAACCAGGTGGAGAGGGGGCGCTACGCTTGAATGGTGAAAATGAATATGTGTCAGTCCATAACACAACCCATCATTAGCATAAATGCATGTACTCTGGAATGTTGTTTGAAGCATGGAGGGAAACATAAATCTTTAGCATATCTGGCATGTAAATATCTTGAGACACCAGCTATAACTGTGCCTGGCAAACACTTGGCTTTGCTTTCCGATAACATTGTAAAAAAGAAGTGGGCACCATTATCTCCTGCAAATGTAAAAAAACATGTTTGTCTGAGCAATTGGCTGTACTTAATGGACTTTAGACTCTAAAGTTTTACACTGTTTTATTTTTTGAATGCAGTCATTTTTGTACATAATTCTATATTTGTAAGTTCAACTTTTCTGATAAAGCAATTACACTACTTTATTGTATTAGGTGAATTGAAAAATATCATTTCTTTAGAGTTTTTTACAAAAAACAAAGTGAGTGCTGTGCACTTTGTATTCTGTGTGATAATTTAAATGAAAATATTTGAAAATGTAGAAAACAGCCAAATATATTTAAATATATATTTTTCTATTGTTTAGCAGCACAGTTAATCATGATTATTTTTAATTGCTTGACATCCCTAATATAAATATTAACAATAATATGGGGTTGAGGATGTGTCTTAGAGTTTTCTCCAATAACTTCATAATCTGTCTCTTTTTGAAGGAGCTACTGATGACCTGAGGCTGGTGGATGGAGGCAGCCCCTGTGCCGGGAAAGTGGAGATTAAACACCAGGATCAGTGGGGGATGGTGTGTGATAGCGTCTGGGAAATGGAAGATGCTAACGTTGTTTGTAGGCAATTGGGATGTGGATCTGCTATTAGTGTCCATGATCAAGAACATTCTGGTTCCAGTTCTGGGCCAATTTGGCTGGATGAAGTTGTCTGTAATGGTACTGAGTCATCTCTCTTGGAGTGTAAACATAGCGGATGGGGTGTGCATAGTTGTGATCATTATAAGCCAGCTAGAGTCACCTGTTCAGGTAAGAAATCAACCGTAAAGGTACAATCCTCCTGAGAAAAAAGGGAATTAATCTAGAGCAGTAGTTCTCAAAGTGCAGTCTGCGGACCACTAGTGATCTATGGCTGCCTTCCAGGTGGTCCGTGTTTGTTTGCAGTTCATCTCCTTTACCCCTTAGCGGGGACCCTGTGCTGATGCTTCAGCCTCACTCTCCCCCCTCCCAAATGCAGCTGGAGCACTAGTGTTGGCTTCCCGCTACTGGGGGGAGTGGGGCAGCGGGGAGAATGCACAGCGAGGCTCGGGGCTATCTGGCTTATGGGGAAGAAGTGCTCTCCCTCCCACTCTCCCAGCTAGGGGAACAGTACTGAGCAGGCGTGCTGCCTGGAGGCTTTCTCTGCTGCTCCCATTGGCTGGAATCGGCATGGGGCACAAAGGCAAGTGAGTGGCCCCCCCTTCCCCTTGTACCCAGATCCCCGCACTCCTACCCCACTCATGCACCCCCATCCCCCGAGACCCTGCACCCCAGCCTGCTCCTGCATCCTCCCTCGTTCCTGCACACTCACCCTTGCTCCTGCACCCTCCCTTCTGGTCACTCACTGCATCTTCCCTTGCTCTTGCCTTTTAATAATTCCAATTAGTATTTCCTTTCTTACTGGTTAAATTACATCATTCTCCCTAGCTGCAGCACTAGCAAAATGGCTCAGCTGTAATTAATGGCAAGCTTCCATTAGCACGGAAAGATTTGCATTGAGGCAGGTGGGCCACGGGCCAAAAAGGTTAAGAATCAGTGATCTAGAGTGTCACATGCTTAAGTCCTTAATCTACTATATATTGCAGAGAGATTGTTCAAGAACTCCTCCTAAACCAGTGGTCTCCAACCTTCTTAAGCACAAGATCACTTTTTTGAATTTAAGTGCAATCCAAGATCTACCTGAAACCCAAATACCCTTGCCCCACCTTTTTCCCACCCCTTCTGCAAAGCCCTGCCCCTGCTCATTCCATCCTCTCTCCCTCCCCACCCTCCTTCACTTTCACTAGGCAGGGGCAGAAGGTTGGGGTGCAGGCTCTGGTCTTGGGTTAAGGGATTTGGAGTCTTAAGGGATTTGGAGTTGCTCTCAGCTGAGCTTGGGGCAGGGAGTTGAGGTGTACAAGGGGGTTCAGGGTACAGGCTTTGTAAGAGAGTTTGGGTTTAGGGGGAGCTCAGGATTAGGGCAGGGACTTGGGGTGTAGGAGGAGGTTTATGACTGGAGCAGGTTTCAGGATGCAGCCTCCAGCTGGACACTGCTTACCACAGGTGGTGCAGTGGGGCTAAGGTAGGCTCACCCCTGCCCTGGCCCTGCACCACTCTCAAAAGCATCCAGCAAACCTCCTCCATCCTAGGCCTTATTGTGCCCCCCTCTGTTCCGTGGAGATAGAATACAGGGTGGGAGAGGGGACACCCTGACATCAGCACCCGTTCCTCTTCCTGCCCTGCCCTGAACTCCAACACTCTGCCCCTGCCTGGTGAAAGCTCTAAGACAAAGGGCAGGAAGTGTGCAGCAGTGAGGAGAGGAGCAGTTGAAGTGCAAGCCTTTGATAGCCTCTTGGCCAAACCTGTCAGGATCACCTGTCAGAGGCTCCAAGATCTATTAGTAAATCCCAATCTAATGGTTGGTGACCACTGTCCTAAATGGTAAGAGCTAGGACCACCAAATGTGGTATGCAGCTTCCTCTTATCATAACTTAAAGCACGGTCAGGGTTTGGTTGTACTAGGAAAAAGGGATGTGCCTGGAATGAAATTTGTTTTATGAGAAGCAAACAGAAAAGAAACAGTCATGAAATCAAGTACAGTCCTCAAAATTGACATCACTGAGCAAATGTTGAAAGAGACTGAACCAAGATGAGTCAGTAAAATAGGATGAACCTATAATAGGATTACTTCTCAATAAAACTTACAGAAAAAAAAGATAAAATGGAGAAATTTGGCACAGCTAAGTCAATGCTTAAATAAAACATTGAAACTTTGAAAACTGGAAGAAAATGTTATTGGAGACCAAATTGACTATAAGCCCTTTTTGATAAAACAGAGTGAATAAGAGTTTATAGAGATGAAGAAAAACTACATTTGATGGAATTCCTATTTTAAAAAAATACTAAAAAATTTAAATAGAAAAATTTTAATCTATTTTTTTAAAGAAATCTTAAATAAAAATTAAATTCACAAAAATAACACTGTATTTTTGAAAAATACAAACAATCTTAACTATAGTCATGACTGCTTGCAGGTGCAATGTATGTGTAAAATTCTGCATAATTTATATATCCATTTTTATCTCTGTTTACATAGTGTGTGTGTGTGTGTGTGTGTGTGTGTGTGTGTGTGTGTGTGTGTGTGTGTGTGTGTAAAAACAGATGCAAGATTTAGCTGAATAGAAAGGCATGAATGTAATGACTTCTAAAAATCCATAAAATAATTTATTAATAATCATTATTCTTCCCTCTGTCTATTGCCCTCATTATGTTTTTCAGGACTTTTAATTGCGTCTTTATATTTTAAATTGGAAATAATGCTGTCTAGAGACTGTAATTTTTATGTTGCTGCTTTGAAGCACTCAGAAAATAAGTAATAATAATTACACATTATTTAAAAATAAATGGTAATGGCAGATTGTGATTTAACATAATGTTATTTGTTATAATAGATGATGTATTATTACAATGTATACATTGGTATATCCTTAGTTGATACAGGCCAGAATTTTATTCCTGTACTAATGCTAAATTGCATATTATTCCAAAATTAGTTTTATTGAAATAAACATCATACATATCGTATATTATTATAATCTCACTGAACATTTATTTCCAGGTCATATTACACCCCAGCTTGCTGGAGGAGACAGTGACTGCTCAGGACATGTTGAACTAAAACATGGAGAAACATGGGCAATAGTCTGTGATTCCAACTTCAGTCTCACCACTGCCAGTGTGATCTGCAATGAGCTAAACTGTGGAACAGCCATAGCTATCCTGAGTGGAGCACAGTTTGGAGAAGGAAATGGGAGAGTCTGGAATGAAACATTCCAGTGTGTAGGAAATGAATCTCACCTTGCGTACTGTCCCAGAACATCTCTTGTGAATCAGACATGCTCGCCTGATAATGATGTTGGCATCATATGCTCACGTAAGACTTCAAAAGGATGATTCTAGCCTACTGTGTGCTGTGTTTCTTGCAGTGGAAAAGAAATAGGACTAAGTTACAGTGAATGTGAAGGTGTTTGTTTAGGATACTAGAAATAGGTCATATGGTTCCTGGTTTAATAGGCTACAAACTGTGAAACACAAATTGCTGCACAGTGATCTTACAAGTAAACACCCTACATCCTAGGTCAGATTAAACAAATATGGAATATATTGTGGACTATGTTAATAAATATGCTAATAAAATGTCCTTATTGTGAAAGGAACTTGGATCATGGGGCTAGTATAAATTTGTTCAAAAACACAGAAAGACTAACATTTTGATGGCATAAATGGATGCAATTGCCTCATAATAGTTTGTATAAATTAGTTCTAAGGCTCCCTCTCTAAACCCATCTCTCTTTTCCCCAGGACACACAGGGCTGCGGCTGGTGAATGGCAGCACAGCCTGCTCAGGAAGGGTGGAGATCCAGGTGCATGGTGCCTGGGGAACCCTCTGTGACTCACACTGGGACTTATCCATTGCCAATGTCCTTTGCAATCAGCTCGACTGTGGATTTGCTGTATTGGCCCTGAGAGGAGAATATTTTGGAAAAGGAAATGGCTCTAACTGGACAGACTCACTTCACTGTAACAGTTGTGAATCCCATTTGCATCACAGCTTTGTTACTACCTTTGAGGCTTCTCAGTGCCCACTTGATGCTGAGGCCAGTGTGGTATGCTCAGGTAAATACAGGAGAAATGCAGAATTAATGACATCTACCCTTCAGTGTGTGATACTGCCCTTCAGGGAGGAAAATAGTCTGGATCCTAAATCAAGCTGCAAAAGCAGTAGGCAGGTTGGGGGTACAATTGAGCCTTTCTATTCACATTTGGAACAGCGTGTATGTTTCCTTTTTCTTTCTTTTTCTCTTCTTTTAATAAAAATAGACACCACACTAGTCATTTTCCAGCCTTTGAGAACAGTTGCTGTTCAAAAATAGGTCATAGAGTTGTCATTAATTCCACTATTTCACACTTCACTTCCTCCAGAATCCATTAGTGCCAGTCATCTGCACTTGAGTCTCCCATCTGTTCACATGTAGATATAAATGGAACTCCTGAGACCAGTGGTGGAAGTAGGGTCCCGTGTGCAGCTTCATTTTGGGGGGCCCCCTTAGGACTCAGCAAAAAAAAAAGAACATTCTCGCTTATCCCCCTCCCCCAGCTTTTCATTCTTTTTCTTCATCCTGTAATAAGTAAATACAAATTAAGTGAGGTACTTTGATTGGGGCAGGGTTTGAGGTACAGGGGTCCAGCTCTGTGAGGGAGTTTGAGCATAAGTTGTGGGCTCTGGGCTGGGGTAGAGGGTTAGAGTGTGTGAGGGGGTCAGTGCTTACTTTGGCTGGGGCGCTTTAAAGCGACCAGCACTCCCCTCTGGCAGTGGCTCCTGAGAGAGGGCAAGCAGTCTCCATGCAAGCTGTCTGCAGACACCACCTCCACAACACCCACTGTATGTTGTTCCCAGCCAATGGGAGCTGCGGAGTTGGTGCTCCGGGAGGAGGCAACATGAGGAGAAACCCTCCTGGGGACCACAGGGACAAGCCAGCCACTTCCAGGAATGGCACAGTATGGAGGAAGGGAACCCTTAGCCCTGCTGTTGGCACATTTATGTGCACTTCTTCTGGAGGAGACAGTACATCTCCATGCACTACCTGAGGAGCCACTCCCTCCCCTGGCAAGGCGTGCAGTGACATGCCAGCAGCTGACCACTTCCAGGGGCAGCATCATATCATGGCATTGCAGGCAGCCCGCCTGCCCTAAGCCCGTCTACACTGGCAACCGGGACTCAGGGGCAGATTGTCAGATGACATTTGTCCTGCATGGGAGGAGGGAAAGGAGGCTGTTGTTGGGGCTTCATGCCACTGCACAGTATGTTTCATAGTAAATCTCCTGCTTGAGACACGCAAGCAGGCCCCTTTCTCAATACAATGAATTGGGTGCCTTCCAATTCAGTAACATATAACAGCAAAACCTATGTACAGTACATCTAATATGCAGTAGAGTTCTAGACCTCAATTCAGAAAAGCACTTAAATCCCATTCAACTCACTGAGACCTGAACATATTTTGAAGGGCTTACATGAATAAGGGCTATACTGTTACCACTCAAGGGCAAAGATAGAGCCCTGAAAATCAGCAAATATCTGCATAGGGTTCTAAGCATAGGACACTCTGAACAGTTGAAAATAATTGGTTTGTGAAATAATTGATTAATGAAAATAATTGGTTTGTGGAGTAAGATGAGATTCCTCCTCATGGTATGTTGGTCAGAGTCCTGGATGAACTGTGGAACATTTTGTGTCAGAATACAGAGTAAGTTTACAATCAAAGTGAGATTTTTGTCAAAAAAAACCACGCAGAAGTCTTGATGTTAGTTATAAAAACCATAAGGAGTCAAGACACATAGTCTGAAGTCATTTATGATACAAAACCGTGAACAAAATCAGCTAGTCTTTATTTTACATGTGACATTTGATACTGGCTACATCTACACTGCCCTTCTTGCACAAAAAATATGCAAATGAGGCGAAGTGTGGAATATCACCACACTTCATTTGCATAATTAGTGAAGCTTGTTTTTGTGCAAGAGGCTTTTGTGCAAAAAAGAGCCATCTACACGGCTAAGAATGACAAACAGCATGATTTTTTTTTGTGTGCAAAAGACTTAAATGTCCTGGACCTAGTCACAGAACTCATAGCTATTACAAATATACAGTTTAATCCTCTTAAGTCCAGTGCCAGTGTAGATGCTCTCTTGCGCAAGAAAGCTCCAATGGCCATTTTAGCTATCGGGCTTTCTTGTGCAAGAAATGTACGTTGCTGTCTACACTGGTCTCTTGCACAAGAATACTTGCACAAGAGGGCTTATCCCTCAGTGGGAGCATCAGAGTATTTGCACAAGAAGCACTGATTTTGTACATTACAACGTCAGTGTTCTTGCGCAAATATTCACTGCCAGTGTAGACTGGCGGCAAGATTTTGCGCAAAAGCAGCCACTTTTGCGCAAAATCTTGCCAATGTAGACACAGCCAAAGTATATAGAAGATGAGACCATCTGACAACCTTCAAGATCTCCACATCTGAAAGAGCACAGTCTTGAATTGTTGAATATGACAATAACATTTGCTCATGTGTTTCATTTCTGGAATCTCACAAACCTTTTGTTCAATAGGTATATGACATGTTAATAATTGAAATTTATTCCTACAGGAAACAGACAGCTCAGACTGGTGAATGGTTCAGATCATTGCGCTGGGAGAGTGGAGATTTATTACAATGGCACCTGGGGAACTGTCTGTGATGATTCCTGGGACCTGTCAGACTCCAATGTTGTTTGTAAAGAACTGGGATGTGGATGGGCCCTCAGTGCATCTGTCTCTGCTCATTATGGGGAAGGATCTGGGCAGATCTGGCTAGATAATGTAAACTGCTCTGGGAATGAATCTGATCTCTGGAAATGTCCATCTGGAGGATGGGGTCTACATAACTGCAGACACAATGAAGATGCGGGAGTTGTGTGTTCAGGTCTGTTCAGAATGCTCTATTAAGCACATTTAACTGGGAATATATTGTGTGAATATTAACTAAGGATGTAACTACATTGAAACCTGCAGTATAATTGCAGCACGAGCAATACCCATATTAGGTAAAAATAGCACTGTAAATGTGGTATAGTAGACTTCATCTTGGTTTTACAAAAACTCTCAATGGTCCTTGACATTGATAGCCTGTGCTGCCATGTCTACACTACTTTTAGTTGTGCTCTTGTGGATATGGCCTACCAATGCTGTAGTCACAGCTTGGATTGCCATGTAGACATACCCTAAAACTTGAGTTCAGCAAATTATCCCTATTCAGCAAAACAGTGGAGTATGTGCTTGGGTTCCATTTAAATCAAAATTGCATCCTGATTCTTTTAAATTCTGCCAACAAATAACATAGGGAGTTTATAAACATATTATCTACTATATATTTGAGAGAGTGTCTGTCTGTCCATCCATCCATAAGAACATAAGAAAAGCTATACTGAGTCAGACCAAAGGTCCACCTAGCCCAGTATCCTGTCTTCTGAAAGTGGCCCAGAGGGAGTGAATTGAAACAGGTATTTATCAAGAATAGTGATAGAAATGTAGCCGTGTTAGTCTAGTGTAGCTGAAACAAAATACAGGACTATGTAGCACTTGAAAGACTAACAAGATGGTTTATTAGATGATGAGCTTTCGTGGGCCAGACCCACTTCCTCAGATCAAATAGTGGAAGAAAATAGTCACAACCATATATACCAAAGGATACAATTTAAAAAAATGAACACGTGAAAAGGACAAATCACATTTCAGAATAGAAGGGGAGTGCTGGGGGCAGGGGAAAGGAAGGTGAATGCCTGTGAGTTAATGATATTAGAGGTGGGGAAGGGCAGATGTCTGTGAGTTAATGGTATTAGAGGTGATAATTGGGGAAGCTATCTTTGTAATGGGTAAGGTAGTGGGTAAACCCATTACAAAGATAGCTTCCCCAATTATCACCTCTAATACTCCCAAGATCTCTGTCTTCAGAGATCATAGCTAAATTAGTCCCCATTTTGTATGTGCAGTTGGGGTTATTTTTTCTAATGTTCATTACTTTGCATTTATCAACATTAAATTTCATTTGCCGTTTTGTTGCCCAATCACCTAGTTTTGTGAGATCCTTGTGAAGCTCTTCACAGTCTGCTTTGATCTTAACTAGCTTGAGTAGTTTAGTGTCATTTTCAAATTTTGCTACCTCACTGTTTACCCATTCTCCAGATCATTTATAAATAGGTTAAGTAGGATTGGTCCCAAGACGGACCCTTGAGGAACACCACTGGTCACCTCTCTCCTTTCTCAAAACTGATTCATTCCTACCCTTTATTTCCTGTCTTTTAACAAGTTATCAATCCATGAGTGGATCTTCCTTCTTATCTAATGGCAACTAACTTTACTTAAGAGCCTTTTGTGAGGGACTTTGACAAAGACTTTCTGGAAATTTAAGTACAGGCAGTCCCCGGGTTACGTACAAGATAGGGACTGTAGGTTTGTTCTTAAGTTGAATCTGTATGTAAGTCGGAACTGGCGTCCAGATTCAGACACTGCTGAAACTGACCGCCAGTTCTGACTTACATACAGAATCAACTTAAGAACCCCAGGCGTCCCCAAGTCAGCTGCTGCTGAAACTGATCAGCAGCTGATTCCAGGAAGCCCGGGGCAGAGCAACT